TTAGATATATTGTATTTATTTGTATATCCTATCTATTCCATCGTGCAGCGAGTCGGTGCCATTGAGGTGTCAGTGGCAGTTGTTAGTTAACTCAGGGCCAAGCTCGCGAGTATGGATCGAGGCCAAGCCTCGGAAGCGATAGATTGACAGTTGATCTTTGTCAGCGGTAGTTTTCTCTTCAGATTCATCAAATAGCTCGCACGAAGAATATCAGTGGTGGTCCCGGTGATGAGGATCTGAGGCCCCCGCCTCGCCAGTCTGCAGATCCTAAAGGCAAGGCAACTAAGAAGCTAGCAACCCGGAAGCGCAAATATCCAGATGCAGAGACAGCGAGAGTAGCTGCAGTTGCTGAGGCTGCAGACCGTGCCGAGAGAGGAGGTGCTCATAGTGGAGTTGTTATTACAGATCTGCTTCCACCAGGAGCGATGGAGGGAATCGAGCGTGTTGAGCGCCTTCATGGTGGTCCACCTAGGACCATCATGGTTGCAGGACGACGTCATACTATTGATGAGGTTCTGCCTCAGGGGGAGTCACAGCAGCAGGCACCGCCAGCAGAGCAGGCTCAGCAGGCAGAGTAGGCACCACAGTCACAGCTACGCCGCTCTGGTCGTACCCGTGCTTTAGTTACACCTAGGCCAGACACTCGGCGAAGGGGTTCTCATCCTCCTCCAAGACCATAGGGTCCACCTCCAGTGACCCATCTTGACTTGAGGGCCGCCACGGCCAAGCAGGTGCAGCAGCTGAGGTTCATAGACTTTGAGGTGTGGTTCCCACCGAGGAGAGATGACAAAGCATCTGAAGGTTTCTACACACCTCTGCAGGAGGACTTCTATAATGCCTATCTCAATAGTGATGTAGTTTTCAGATCTCAGAGGGTGTGCCATATTGACTCTATAGTTGCAGCAGCTGGAGAGCACATCTGCCCCTATCTTGCATATCTGCCGGGTGACAGATCTGATTGGATGGACCGATTTATATGTTCCATCTTGGGTTCGTCAGTTCTATGCTTCTCTCTTTATTGACCCGCATCATAACTTCATATACTTTGCATTTAGAGGCAGAGACTACCGGTTGACGAGCACTAGGGCTAGAGAGATACTCAGACTTTAGGAGCAGCCTGTCAGATTGCATGAGGTTTGCTATGGACAGACAGCGCCTCCCAGACGCCCACATGGTGGCATGGTGCCCCCTACAGAGCCCTTTGGAGAGGGATAGCGCAGGAACCCCAATGACCTTGCTCCTACTGCTAGAGTGCTAGAGGCTATTATGAGGAGGACACTGCTACCGAGGATGGGGTATCATGAGGGCTTGACTCGCATATAGTTGTGGCTAATCAACTCTCTGATGCAGCAGACAGTCTTTGATATTTGGGATCTTATTTTGTCAGAGATGGAGGACACCATAGCTGAGGGCTTCAGAGGACACATGTAGCTACCTTATGCTCACTGGATCACATGGCTTATCCACAGGGCAGTCACAGTGAGGCCGCCAAAGATGCTTGCTGAGTACAGTGGTGCCACCATAGAGTTTCCAGCCTATAACATGACATAGATGATTAGGCATAGTACACCTACAACACCTAGTCAGCCGCGTCGACGTCCTGAGGTGCCAGAGACTACAACCCAGCAGGATGATATTATCAGTGGCATAGCAGCTACTGAGGAGGAGGAGCTTGCTCAGTAGGAGGGTGTAGTCGTGAGTGACCCCAGTGACAGTTCTGATGATGACTACCAGCCCGTTCCTCGGATGCCTCCACAACGACATGATCATGAGGCCGGCAGCTCCAGCTTAGCGCCACCTGCCCCGTAGATAGACCCTGCTCCCCTTGCTATACTTGAGCGGATGAAGCAGAACCAGGCACGCTAGGCTCGGAGAGAGCAATTGCTATGTTTTGCTGATTCTAGACTCGGCGAGATGAGTTCCAAAGAAGAAGAAGAAGCGATCCAATGAAGACTAGCTATTCGGCGGAAGAAGAAGCGAGCAATGCATCGCAGCAGATACTCATGCAAAGCAGCAGCTCCTTGGATTTATGCAAAGCATGTAGTGACGACCATTGGGGCTCCACCGACACACCTTCGCCCGGCTGCCTTTGGTGAGCAGCACTACCGATGACTCTCGGCGTTACAACCCAGTGGGCTTCAGAGTAGGGACAGCCACCAGCGCTGTTTGCTTCTCCTACAGAGCAGGTGTCCTAGTACTTTGCTTCGCCAGCGCTAGCCCCATAGTTCACACCTTTTTAGACGGGCTTCACACCGGCTGGGACGTCTTTGTTGCTTGTGCCAGAGACCACCGTGTCTAGGAGCCTTGGTGCTTCATTCAGTGAGTTGACAAGGATGCCCACTCCTCCATATCTACATGTCCTAGGTCCTTCTATAGTTGCACCTGTTACTCGGGACTACAGAGACGCTCCCTTCCTCAGTGGCATCATCAGAGCCTACTATAGTCCTACCAGCTCAATCTACAGCAGCTCTAGTTCCTGATCCGACCCAGACTGCTACAGCACCGATTACAACTACAGAGGGTCAGACTGCTCAGAGCTCAGGGTCAGATGATGACAGCACCCAGTTTCAGCTTGCTCCTTGTACTTTAGTGCCCGGCTAGTCCGCTGCAGCCCCGCCGACCGACCCTTAGGTTTTGGTGTTTGATGCCAAAGAGGGAGATGGTTCGAGTATGTTAGATTCAGGGGGAGCGACGCATTTAGGGGGAGCTTAGTTATTATATTAGCTTATATATTACATTTGGAGTGTTTATGTGTGATACACTATTATGCATTCGTCGTGTGTTTACTTGTTATGCATTACACTATATTTATGTGATAGTGATATCTACGTTATCGTGATATATGACATGTGTGCTCTCTACTTTGAATTACTTATATGTCATATCACTTGTGCCATGCTCATTTGCCTTTGCTTCCACGTTTTACTCCGATGCAAATGAGCTTTATTACTTGTACTCATGCTTATTTCATATCTTTTGAGTACATCATGTTGGCTTGGTTCATATAAGCTTGCCTAACACTTTTGTTCTTATTGACAAAAGCTTATATGACCCAAACATATTAACAACCTCAACTCTTTCACATACTCGAGGTGGTATTGTCATCAATCACCAAAAGGAGGGGAGATTGAAAGCATCTAGGCCCCTAGTAGGGTTTCGGCGATTAATAACAATACAAGATTACTATGACTAACGTGTATTTTGCAGAGGCAATTAAGTTAGGTCATGGTAATGGAGATTGATTGGGCAATCAAGGTGGTCATGCCCCTACGATGGAAATCGTTTTGGTTTCAAAGGATGGACGACAAGGTTAAGGATGATTAGTTCTAAGTGTCGATTGGAGTTGGAGAGACACTTAGAGTAGTTTAAGACTTTGTTTTTCCTTTGGCCGTACTATTAAGGAGGGTATGGACAGGTAGCTTGACCTAGATGAGTCTAGTGAATTAGGTATGGTGCACACTTGTTTAAACTAACACTAGGTAGCTCCAAAATAGCCCTTAGATCCAATGGAGCAAACTTCATTCACATATGATCGAGAGTTGGAAGTGAATGGAGGGTCAAATACTGACCGGACGCTGGCTCAGGGTCCGGTCAGTTCATTTGACCTAGGTGACTGCGTCTAGCGCGATCGGACGCTGAGAGGTCGAGTGATCGGACGCTGAGAGGCAGCGTCCGGTCGACTCCAGTAAGGTTCCAGAGAGGAAAATCATGACCGGACGCGTCCGGTCACACTGTAAACACTGGAGTTCGGGGTGTACTGTCCGGAGCGTCCGATCAACATGACCAGAGCGTCCGGTCACCCCGTCAGAGGCACATAACGGTTCGTTTTTCAGCCTATGTTATAAACACTCCCTCCACTCGTGTGTGAGGTTACTTTTGCTCATTCCAACAGCTGAGAAACACGTTTGAGAGTGCCAAGAAGAGCAAGGTCCAAGTGAGGTGATTGAGATTTGAGAATCCCAAAGAGAGCCCTCATTAGTGAGATCAAGAGTAGCAAAGTGTGCATCCACCCATCTCATTAGGCTTGTTGTGGTCAAGTGAGAGTTCGTGCTTGTTACTCTTGGTGATCGTCATCACCTAGACGGTTCGGTGGTGATTGGGAGCTTGGTGATCATCCGGAGAGCTTGTGGATGACCCAACTCACATTGTGAGCGGTTGTGGGTGATTCACCACGACGGAGTGTCGAAGAATCAACCCGTAGAGAACACTTGATCCTTGCGCGGATCAAGGGGGAGCTACACCCTTGCGCAGGTGCTCCAACGAGGACTAGTGAGGAGTGGCGACTCTCCGATATCTCGGCAAAACATCGCCACGTTTCCTCTCCTCTCTATTTACTTTGAGCATTTACTTTGAGCAATTCAATTCTTGTTCTTATATTCGTAGAATTGTCATGCTAGAGTAGGATTGGAACTTAGGTTGTAAGCTTTTTTGTGCGGTAGAACAACTAGGAACACTTTCTAGGCACAAGGGGTTAATTGGGCTAACCATAGGACTTAATTATTGCAAAGAAAATTTTAATTAGCCCAATTCACCCCTCTCTTGGGCATCTTGATCCTTTCATAGTGCTTCCGGTAGCAACTGCAAGTGTTGAAAGAGTCTTTTCTGTCGTGAATTATGTCAAGAACAAATTAAGAAATAAGATTGGGATCAATACTTGAATAATTGCTTAGTTACATTCATTGAGCGGGAGTTCTTTCTACAAGTTAAGGACAAAGACATCATCAATCGCTTCCAAACCACGAAGAACCACAAGATTAAAGTAACATTATAGTATTTTGTAAGTTCTCTTTATTACTTTTAGTTTGTTTCATGCATATCTTAGAGCTGATTAACTGAACAATTTGTTATTTGATTATTTTTGTGATTTTAATTATCGGTAATCGTACTACTCTGAATTGTGATTGGAAAAAAAAATATATAAAAGTGGGAATACCCAAGTTTTAAATCATGGCTCCGCCCCCAACTAATCAGCTGCAGAACACGTGATTCGATGTAATTAGTTACGAAGCTAGCGTCCGCACGTTGGATTTGATGTAGTCATCCAGATCCTCCTTGTAGCGTTGGTACAGCTGCTCGGAGTAGTTGTGAGGCGACGCCTGAGTGTACATGCAGTACACCGTCCTACCGCGCGCAATGCCAAGAACACACTCAGATAGAGGGGTGGTGACTGGTGATGGTGACCCAAGGAAACTGAACCAGGTAGCTTCAAATATAGAGTAGATGAGAGCAGTGCAGTGCAGTACGTACGTGAAGACCTGCATGTACTCCTCGGAGGATAAGCCCTCGCCGCCGCCATCGGTGGCGCGCCTAATATTGGACAAGCCGGTGGCCACAAAGCTCCACCCCTCCTCAAGCCCCATTATCTTCTTGTCGCCCTGCTCCATGCTGCCGCAGCTCGCCAGTCAACTCGTCAGATTATTATTAGCAACCGCACTGCACTTGAAGAAGAAGAGGAGGAGGAGGCCGAGGCAGCTCGCGGGCGCATTAATGCCCCACTGCCGCCGACCCTCACTTGACCCAGTCCGAATGTCCGATCAATCCTCGCCCGCCAGCCTGACACTTGGTCAAATGATGTGAGGCGAGCACTACAACTCTGACGCCACGTTTGGTTAGTCGTTAGTGAAAATTCAAGTGGTGGATACAAGTTTGAAGTTAGCAGTCTAGAGGTTGGGGGTAAGTAATTTAAACGAGGGAATGAAAATTTGGAGTTCGAAGTTTACAAATACTGTTTGTTTTGTGGGAACTTTTGGTGGGAGGAGAAATGAAAGTTTGCAGGGGACTGTCGCGTTTGCAGTTTGCCCGGGAATTGTTAGAACTTTGGGGAGAACCTGTGCAGGTGGTTGTTAAGGACATTTTCATGCTTGTGTTACTGTATGAAGAACAGGAAAAAGGCGCTTTTGCGGTGATTACCGTACTGTCGTGTTTGCCCGGCGAGCGATTCAGCTTTGGCAAGAACGAGCATGTCCTTACAATAAACTTGGCAAGAGATGACTGATGGTAGAACGTGATGCAATTCTGATGCCAATGTGATAGTACAATAGACTCCACGTAGTATTGCCCACTACAAGTATACACTGATCACTGGGCCAGTAGTGACCCAAACTAAAGATAACAGCTCATGTTATAAACAAATTGACACCAAAAAGGGATATTTGATACCAATCAAAAGGCTTTGTCCTCTATTGGTAGCCAGCCACAGGCACCTGATACATCCAAAGAATGAATGCTCCGAGCTTTTCTGAACCTCACTCGCCCCCGTCAACACAAGAGACCTAAAATGCTTTACTACAGAGTATGTATCCAGATCTGCCATTAGCACTGTCACCAATCACCATATTTTACTCGTACTTGGCATTCTAGCCGTAGACTTCAACCAAAGTACAAGCTTAGAAAGTATCTTGTCGGATTGAACCCTATTAGTATCACTGCAAGATGATGAATGAACATGTGAGACAGGTGTCGGGAGATCAGTCTCAAACAGTACAAAAAGATGCACTTACTAAGTGGAGACAGGATGATGACGAGACCAATTGGGTACAGGAAGAATGTTGTTCTATCCAGAAATGGAAGAACTACAGCAACGTACATTGTCAGGCGAGAAGTGCACAAATGCAACAAAATGGAGCTCCCAAGAAAAGATTATTATAAAAACTAAAACGTACCATCATATCCTAGAAAGTTCAGGTAGTGATAATAAGAAATTGCCACCACGAAGAGTAGATTAGATAACAAAGCTGGAAAGAAGCCATGTGCGAGCAATAGAGGCGACAGAAAATACTGCAGCACTGTGAAGAGAAACATGTAGTATGAGATATTATACAAGTTGCAACTAACTTTCAAATGGACAGACATCGCGAGACAGTTTACCATATAGGATGACAAACGCAGGAAAGAACGAGTTACAGTGAACATCAAATGTATAGAGCCTGCCAAGAATTTTGTGTGCACTGTTAGCGATATTGGCTTCCATCTTAATAACAAAGCAGTAAATAAAGAAATTGTGCATGGTATAATTAATCTATCTATATATATCTTACAAAGGCAAACCCTACTAGCTTTCTATCTCAACATGTAAGCTATCCACGACATCTCCCACTAGACGCCACATCACACACACACACACACACACACACACACACACCACCCCAACCCCACCCAACACCACCACGCACACACTAGCTTTCAATCTTAATATGCTAGCAATCTGCTTCATCACCACTAACTTCCAATCTCTTTGTGCACACTACCTACGTCATCTAACTGCAATTACAGTTTGCAATCTATCAAAAATACAGGGCATCTATATAATGCTATTTGTTTTGCCGTTCCGTCGTCTTATATTTGATCTAATATTTTACTAGTTTTTTATTGGATTCCACCATTACCTTGCACAATTTTGACCAACTCATACATGCAACGGCTGTATTTCTAAGATAATCCCACAGCAACACACAGGCCACGGGGTATCCTTCTAGTATCACAGAAAAGTGAAGTATATCCAGACCAAAAATGAGGCCAGTACATGGGCTAGAGCAAAGAATCCGGCACATCACAGAAATAATGAGTCTGGCAGCTAAGTTGTATCAAAAGCTCATATAAGAGAAAACAATAAATTCCCTATAGAAGCAGGGGAAAAAATATGTGATAGAAGATAGGAAAATTACCACTCCACACGTTGCTCAACAACATGGCTGTTAGGTTCCTCTCTCAAGTAAGAATTTGTAAGAAACCTGCATCGAATTACAGCATCTGATAACTCTGATTCCCAATGTAAGAGCTATGTGTATGATCTGCTAATAGGAGTTTAACTAGAAATAGAACATAGGTGTGACAAGAGTAGGCTAAAACCTACAAAGGCACTATGGTTTAGGATTAGGAATACAATTCTAAAAGCAATACAAAATTTCAAAAATTTAAGCTGTATCACTGCAGGCCCATGTGACTAGCACCCCACAACAGCAAGCTTCTAGGGAGTTTATTTCATTCTTAATTATTATTTGCAGCCAAGCATTTTTCCCTCCTACTTAATTTATCCATACAGGTAACACCTTGAAGATTGTAATTAGAGCAAGAAATGCAGTAATGGTGAATGATAAAACTCCAGATCTAGGTTGCAATGTGCATATCAGTTCACGTTGTAATAGAGATTATATCGAAGTTGTCTTTTCAGTCCCAAGACGACATGAAGCAGGTGCGCTATAACTGTACAACATCAGGCTTACCAGCAAAGTGTGGCCAAAACTATCCCAGCAAACAAGAAATGGAGAAACACAACCGAAGTGATTGTTAGAGCAGCATGTGAGGCACTCTCTCCATACCTGCAGAGCAAAAAAAAATTATATTTCCATTGCAAAAGGAAGACAGTTTAATAGGAAAGGGGAAATAGAAAATAGATACTTGAGCCAGGATGTATTTGCAGAAATCACAAAGATAACTTGTATTATATAAGATCATGAACTTACGCTGCACAGTAAGCTGATGTTGCAAACACGAGGAAAAGAATCAGAATAACAACAAATGCAGGATCATCCCGAGCCCACTGGTTCTTTGTTTCTGAAATCACAGGCAAGAAAAATCAGGAATCAACAATGCTGAAAGCAAAGCAGATAAGTGACGTGTATAGTATCGACAAACACATATTCCAAACAGTGTATTAAAGCTCATGGAATGTTCGGATGGTGTGTGCGTACAATATCAAAGGTCAATTGCATAGTGAACTCAGCAGCTCTTATAAAGTTTGGTTCTCATGCAAATGCTACAAACTGATGTCGACAGTTTTTTTTCTTGGCTAGCTGCCACACAATGCTTTGGGAAACACAGTAAAAATGACAGGGGCAGTGTCTCAAACTATTTGCACATACCATGTTCTTCTTAAAATAATAAAAAATAACAGATTACTAATGAATCAGCTTCTCCCATATGCAACTTTCATCAGTATCAGCTAAATAATACAAAAATGAGAAAATGCAACAGCAACAAAAAGAGGTAATGAAGATTTTTGTATCTTGGTAAGAGATTATCACAATCAAAGAAATCATATGAGATGTTCAAGTATAGTAAACCTCATCCCACAAAACAATGTAACTAAAGAATCAGTGTCAAAACTCGAAAAAAAGATTTCCTCATGAAGGTCTTCATGTAGCTACTCTTCCTAAGATATCAGATGGTCTACCATATATGAATAAAATGTCATATAGAAAACTAGTACTCATGATGAAACATCACTTCCAAAAAAACAAAAAACAAAAAAAGATACTACTTCAAAAATGTAAACTACACTAAGTAACAATTTAAAATGATTTATGTTGACATGAATTATACCGGTAGTCCGGTACAACATGCATGAGCTAGTAATAAGAACGGCAAAGTTAGACCACATACGCTTGTGATATTTGGTGTGCTGATAGCTGTCTTCCAGAGATTAACATGCCAGAAATAGACAAATACCAGTCAGATGCTCATTCGGATGATAGGTTCAAGATAAAGAAATACAACATGGAAACTCTTCATCCTAGGACCATAATGCTACAAAAAGACAAATAAATCAGGGAAGGCATCCCTCATAGTAAGGAAGCCAGCTGACCTTTGACTGCAGGTGCAGGAGTGTCAGGGTAGGTTCAGTTTTAACTGGGTGGTCAAATAGGGCTCTTGGAGGTGCTGTTATTTGAAAATCAGGTTTAAGATTTAAACTAAAGTTTGCCAGGATTTTAATTAAGAAAGTTGTTTAAGTACCAGTTATGCTCAAAAGATGAAATTCCATAGTCAAAGCATCTTTGAACTGGAATTAGCAAGATGTGATTACAAAATATTAGCATTGAGAAGTTTTCCATGCAAGGAATAAGTTCTATGATACCATTATCAGTTCATAATTGTGCCAGAGTTTCTAGTGTTACCAACAGTACGTACAGAACACTTAAGTATGATCAAAGAGCAAATACAAACAATTAATAACTGGACTGAGTGCAGGATGCGTACACTACTTTTGGTGAAGTACAGAGATGAACCATTTGCCAAAATGTGTATTCAATATCCATTTGTTGCCACTGCCAATGAGGAATAAAATTAGATTATTTTCCAGATGACCATACGTCACACATAAAAAGCGCAGGCACTTAAACATTACTGTGAGCTTTGATACATTCAGTAACAATACCAGAAAAGTTGTACAGAAACTAGGTTGAAAAGGAATTTTCTTTTCTCATCCTGGAAATATCTGTTTTCTCTCCTTGTTATATTGAGATCACAAGCACAGAAAGCTGTAAGAACACTTCTTACCGCATTGACTATTATTCGGAGTTCAGAATTTCCAAGGTGCAAAATTAAAAATACATTTCCATAGCACCACTATGGAATGTTGGGCTAAACAAATGCCCAATTTGGCAACACAAACAGTTGAAAATGAATCAAAATTCTCAGACTTGTCACGTTGACTACACAATCACCTAACATCCGAAACCGATGACTGGAATTCAGCAATTTGCAGTATGGAATCCAATCAAGAAGCGCTGCAAGCATTGGTGATTTCTAAACCTATAGGGTCTATACTGACTTGATTGATGCACCAAAGAGACTCAATAAGAGACTGCGAGACAATATTAACAAACACTATACAACCGCAGGCTTAGCTCATTGATGCAAAGGAACGCATAAGCTCAGTGAAGCCAGCCTAATAAGGGGCAGGCATACCCCGGCTGGGGCCTATGAACCCCCAAATTAAATCCATGAACTACACACGTAATAGATCCTCGGCTACGCGAGCCCGCATTCAGTAAGTGGGCTGTCCCATCGAATGTTTGACACATGCATGGAGTATTAAATATAGACTAATTACGAAACTAATTGCATAGTTTGCGACGAATTCGCGAGGCGAATCTTTTAAGCCTAATTAGGCCATGATTTGACAATGTTTTGCTACAGTAAACATATGTGCTAATGACAGGTTAGCTAGGCTTAAAAAATTCGTCTCGTCGAATACTGACGGATTATGTAATTTGTTTTTTTATTATTATCTGAACACTCCATGCAACGTCCTCCCGACACACCTCCTAAATTTTAGTCACCGGAACCGAACACCAAACAAAACCCTAAGGTTCAGCGTCCACATCCCTCCCAGTGCGCGGGGAAGCGACGCCAGATCGACAGGCGGCATGAGCAGAGAGGATGCAAGAGAGACGTGAGTGGATCCGTTATTCAGCAAAAGCGAGACGGGGACGAGGTTTACCGACCTTGACGATGCGGCGGAGGTAGGGGCCGAAGAGCGGCGGGGGGGAGCGGGCGGCCCCGCGCCCCATGGACGCGGTCGTCGGCAGCATCTTCGCCGAAACCCTTTGCCTTGGCTACTCCTATCCCTCTGCTCTGCTCAGAGATCTGCTGCCGACCTGCCGCTTCTGCTCCGGTGGATTGCTGGAGCTCCGGCGCCTTGTCCCGTTGTCCGATCTGATGATGGTGGTGGCTTCACAGCCGCAGCGGGCACGCGAGATCTGGCTCGCTGTCTTGTGCCTTGGTTTCGCGTTTGCCTCTTCTTCGTTTGCTGCCTGCAGCCTGCTAAGCTGCCACTGCTACCAGAGGGAAGGTGGTGGCTGTGGCCCGCTTCAACTAACGGCTTCGTGAGTGGTTTTGGGCCATGTTGTCCGGCCCGGTCCATATACATATCCAGGTAGAGCTCGTCTCGTCTCTTTTTTTTTTTTCGTGCCTGAACTTTTAAACCGGCCATTTTAGGCCTCGAACTTTACTTCCAGGCTCAATTTCATCCAGAACTACGAAGATAATCGTTTTAGTCCTCAAACTTTGTATTTTGAGCTCAATTTCATCCATGAACTATCAAAGTGCATTTTGGTCTTTAAACATTTATTTTTCAACTCAATTTCTCTATCCAAAGAGAAAACTTTATATTTTAGACATAATTTCATCCATAAATTATCAAAATGCACTAAACAACTTCGCCCTTTGACTAGCACCACTCACGACAGTCATCGTTAGGTACTTTCAACATTTGTATTCATATTCTAAGATGAATATAAATATAGATCTAAATATTCTTAAATATGAATTCTTTTTATCCAATGGATAAAAATAATTATTCTATACACATGGTTATTAGTTGAGCCTAACACTAGAAGTAGCTAAGGGAAAAAAGTATAAATCTGCTATTGTTTCAATATATCTATGTATTCTTAAGAAATAAATAGCATTTGAAGCAACTGTAATTGCTCCCACAAAAATATTTATAGTCGAATATATATGAACGATACTATTATAAGATAACATTAAAAATAACAACTTAGAACTATTAATGGCCAGTAAATACAGTTTGGATGAATATTACTTTTTATATCAATCATTGGTGATGTTTAAGCTGGCCAGGTGCAATAGTACAACGTTCCACATAGAACGATAGACAAAGTTGAGTTTAAAAATAAAAGTTTAAAGACCGAAAATGTAAAGTTTGAGGAATGAAATGATCATCTTCATATTTCTAGGATGAAATTAAGCCCAAAATACAAAGTTTAAGTACTGAAATGATCATCTTCATAGTTCTATGATGAAACTGAGCCTAACAGTAGAGTTTAAGGACTAAAACAACCGTTTTAAAAGTTAAGGATGAAAGTGAGCTTTGAGGAATAGTTTAGAGACCAAAATAACTATTCTGTCTTTTTTTCTTGCAAAAATGTTATTTTTGTCTTATAAACTATCGGCAAGCTCAAGTTTCATGCTCGAACTTCGAAATTGGACAAACTACCTCTCTCAACTCTCAAAACCATTTTAGCTACCTCTCTTGCCCTATTACAAGTGATTTTAAAGGTGTTTTTGTCATTTTATAGTTATTAAAATTCTGGTCAACTTGCCCTATTACAAAGTCAACTCAAAATTCTATTATGCCTTTAGAGGATGCAGTACCATCATCTATGTCTTTTCTACCTAGGTAATGCAATCTCCTCCGATCTTTGCCATGTTCGATTCTCTACTCTCGATCTTTGTCATTTTATAGTCATCTAGGGAAGAAAAATTCAATTCGGTGCTAAATAAGAAAGTTTAAATTTTTAAGTGTCATAGAGGAAAGACTAATTTTGTTTCAGTACCAAATAGATAGTTCTCTCATTTTTAAATCACCTAAATCACTTTTTTATTTTTTTCTCTCTTATACATTGCGTTGGGAATCTTGACTTTTCTTCTTTCTCTCCCATGTTCTTCCACCTTTATATTGCCTAATTTGACATTTCACCTCTAGATGGAGCTTAGCAGATTGGATACTCTCACCTTTTTTCTTTCTGTCGGTGTTTCGGATTACCGGCTAGTAAATTTATGATTGCGCGTCTGGCCCGGATGGTGTGTTCGGAGGACATAAGGGTTTATACTGGTTCGAGAAGAATATCCCTACGCCTAGTTCGCTACTACTCGTGTTACCGGCACAGGTTTGTAGTAAGGGTTACAAACGGGCGAGAGAGGGAGCAGGTCCCAAGTCTCTGGTGAATGGAGTTGAGTTTTTTTGAGCTTGCTCAGCTGTCAAGACGTGTTAGACCTGTAGGAATGCAGACTTGCTCTTCATAGGGCACCCTGCTTCCCCTTTTATAGATGAAGGGGAAGGCACAAGTTACATTAGAAAGAGAGAGAGAGAGAAGCGAGGAGAAGAAGGCCTCCGGGATTATGGCGTCCTCCATCTCCTTTGCGCGAGTCCCGCTAGTCCTATAGATGACGACGGGGACCGCTCCACATCGTGACCCTGTTCGTCACTGGCGCTATACGTAGGTGCCGTCAATCGGTCATGGCGCTCCACTCTGTCCTGGCAAGCGACATGGTTAGCGGACATCCCCGTCGGAAGTCAAACGAGGGTTAGGTAGCACAGAGCCGGCACACCTGGCACTGTTGGTGATGCGAGTCCTCTAGTATGGCCCGTCGTGGCCATGGGTAACGTCAGGATGCTCGCACTCCCTCCTGGGTGTTAGAAGTTTAACCTTGGGCTAGTATTCTTATACCCGTAGTGGTTGGAGGTGGTACGGCCCCCCATCGAGCGAGGCGGAATCCCCCTTCGAGGGGTCTGGTGTGGCAAAGTTTGTGCCCAAGGGATCGAGCGTGGCGGATGTCCGTGCCCGAGGGCTCGGGCGAGGTGGAGCCCTCACCCTCGGGGTCAGACATGATGGAGTCTGCCCCTAAGGGGTCTAGCGAGGTGGGGCTCACATCCTTGGGGTCAGACATGACGGAATCCTCCCCCGAAGGGTCATGCGAGATGGAGCCCTCATCCTTGGGGTCAGACGTGATGGAGTCCGCCCCCGAGGGGCCGGGACATGGCAGGGCTCGCATCCTCGGGGTCAGACATGTCGAAGTCCGCCCCTGAGGGGTCGGGCAACACGGGGCTTGCACCCTCGGGGTTGGGCGACACGGAGCCCACACCTTTGGGGTCGGGCGAAACTAGAACACGCCCTTGTCCACCCGAGAGAGTTAGCCTTCGTGACCATTAGCTTCCTTCTTCCGGGTATCCCTAATACTGATACCCGATAGTAGCCCCCGAGCCTGTGGAGGAGTAGGATACTCCTTCGAAGGCTTCTTTAGATGGAAGGATTCTGAGGGTCTCGATCTCCCTTTGCGGGTCGTGGGATAGCCTGGTCAGGTCATGATTCCTTTCTATCACATTCGGACTCTTTGGGAGCATGTAGCTGTGTGATTTGGGGGGTCAGAAAAGATCCCTCTTGATTCTAATCCTTCCCTAGGGTCTAATTGATCTGCCATTGTTCTACGACCGTGTATTCGGTCTCCTTGTGAGTCTAACTTCCCCCGAGCCCCTGCGCATAGTAAGGGTCTTGTCGAGGGGTCAGCTCATCTTGTAGTCGTCCTCCCTCAAGCATTTTTTCGATAAAACGGAGGGGCTGAGCCGTGCCATGTTTTCCTTGATGGACGAATCATGGTGCTCGGTGAGCTGTTAACGAGCTAGTTTGAGTGGGGCCCTGGCTTCTTATTCATGGGGGTTTGCCATGGGTCAACTGGTGACCGACTCCAGATTCCTAGCGGCTAGTCCATATAGTTCTTGGGTCCATTCGATCGGTCCTAAGGGCTCATCGCCTTTCTTCGAAGAAAAACCATGGACCGTGCTCTGGCCAAGACTTGAACATGGGCGGGATGCCCGTGGTGCTCGTGCGCCCGGGTACTAGTCGCTAGCAGGCCCATCCCTTTCCACCCCTCACTCTAAAGGTGCCCTAAAGCAGCTATGAACCCACTAGTGGGCCAGTCTTCGAACTCCTGGGCTTTAATGGGCCATGGGAGCATTCTCAGCTTCGTATCCCCTTTTACCTACGGCGGTTTTTGGCCCATCATAGGGACGAACCCTTCGAGGAGCATCCGGGGGTGGCGTGTGCATGATTCCCGGAGAAGTGACGTAATGGGACGCGGCGGACTCATTAATCTAGGCAAATAGTTCGCCCCTCATTCTACCTTTCCTTATAAATAGTGGCCGCCCTTTTACCTTTTGGTACACCTAACCACAGCCTTGCCTTCTCCGCTTCTCCGCCACCAGCGCCTTAGGTTTTTTGCCCTCACTTCAGTGCCGCTAGTGAAGTCCTTGTTCTTCTATCCTTGCCCTTCCACAGTTAGTAAAGCTTTTGTTCCTCCACCCTTGTTTCCCATGGAGTCGTGGTACTGCTCCGACATCACCCACGCGCGTATGGAGGGCCTTGTCAAGCGCAGCCTCCTCCACGGGAGGACCAACATGGCAGAGTGGCTCGTGCCCGGTAGTGAGGAGGTGCTGGCGTCGCCTGATGGCTACGCCGTGTCCTTCGCGCCCTTCCACGAGCGCGGATTCACGATTCCTCCCCAGGCATTTTTTCTGGGGGGGTGCTGCACCACTACCAGATCGAGTTGCATCACCTGAATCCAAACGGGATCCAACACATCACGGCCTTGATCGCGCTGTGCGAGGGGTATCTAGGGATTGAGCCCCACTTCGAGTTGTGGAGGTACTTCTTCTCCATCACCCTACTCAAGAAGAAGGACACACCGATGTCGATGGGATGCGTGGGCATCCACCTCTGGGGGCAGCGTCATCGGGGCTTCTCCGAGTACGTGCCCTGCCAGCTATCGAGTCCAACAAGGGGTGGCATACGCTGTGGTTCTATTTGAAGAACGATGCCACCGCTCCATTGCCAGACTTAACCGGATGCCTCATCAAAGAGGCGCCGCAGGTGTGGTTGTGGGGGCCTCTCGAGGAGGAGAAGAAGAGGATACGCGATATCCTTGATGCCATCGCATTCCTAAAGAACCACAACCTTCGCAGGGCTGGTGTCATCGGGGCTTATCATGTGAGGAGGGTGGCACCGTTGATGGC